AGCTGGCCGTGACGAACGTTGCTTCAGACCAACGCGGGGGTGAGGTGGGGCGATGCCCAGTCCAGGACGCACCCGAAGACTTCAACGCCGAGACGAGGCCCGTACACGGAGGGTCAGAACGAGCAGCCGGGGCGTGGCCCCGAACTTGTCCTTGCGCTCTGCTCTCTGGGGTTAGCCGAGCTGTCCCCGTGACTCGGGAGCTTTTCACGAGGTACGTGCACGAGCACGCGCATAGGCGAGCTCATAGTTTCACCGCTATCACCATCATGATGATTCCCGCGCACCCTGAAATACTAAATCGGCCCCGCACCCTGAAATCGGCGCACCCTGAAATACCAAATTGGCCCCGCACAGCGATTTTCTACGTCAAAGCATGACGCACACTCTCCAGGGCAGCGTTTTTTTACCACACTATTAGATCCGATCAATATTGTGTCAAAAAACCGAAAAACGAGCCCTTAGATATACACCTCTTTCCCTTATATATATATATATATATATATATATATATATATATATATATATATATATATATATATATATATATATATATATAGTGGGAGTAATAATTCAATGGGCCAGTTAGTCTTCGTGGAGGTATGGGATATGGCACAACGGGAGCGTTGTCAACAAGGATATATATATATATTATATATATATATATATATATATATATATATATATATATATATATATATATATATATATATATATATATATATATATATATATATATATATTATATATTATATATTATATATATATATCTATATATATATATATTGTTACGGTTAAAGTCGAAGGGTGCTTATTCGGTATCTGCACCAGTTCACCTCTTTTTCTTCTTCTACTCTCTCGGCTCATACCCGTTGCATTTCACGGCTCCCAGACGAAGCCCGCTGGGCGAGTATGAATCATTCTGAATGTTGAGGGTGAAACCGTTTAAGGCGGGCGACATGTACCAGCTGAGTCTGGTTTGACCGAAGGCCAGCTGATGTCAGCCGTGCTACCACGTATGTCAAATCGCTCAAGCGATCAACAATGATGAGTGGGCCCCTGTACTGAGGTAAAAACTTTTCGCATAGGCCCCGTTTACGTTGTGGGGTCCCCAACCACACAGAGTCTCCTTTGCAGTATGATACAGACTAATGGCGGCTGTCATAGCTTGTCTTTGATCGGTGTTGCGAAGCCACAGTACGAAGACGAGCAATACGCCGGGCTTCTTCGGCTAGGCAGAGTGTCCTGGAGACAGAGTAGTCGCTATGGAAGTCAAATGGTAGAAAAGTGTCGTTGCAGCTTAACGGTAAACGCGTGTAAAGGAGGTAAAAATGACTGTAATATGTTGTCTTATGTTTGGCCGTGTTATACGCATAAGTAATAAAGGGGAGGACGTCGTCCCAGTCCTTGTGGTCACACAATACGTACATGTCCAACATGTTTGTCAGAGTTCCGTTCGTACGTTCTACCAGCCCATTCGTCTGAGGGTGATACGAGGATCAATGGCGGAACTGCGAATTGCACAGACGAACCAGTTTTTCGACGGCGTCCGCAACTAAGTGACGACCATGGTCACTAATGATCACTCTGGGAGGGCCATGCCGAAGAATGATGAATCTAAGCAAAAACATGGCCACGCACGCCACTGTCGAGGATGGTATCGCTGCAGTTTCTGCATAACGAGTCAGATGGTCGACGCACAATATCACCCATCGATTTATTTACTTATTTGTTTAACATACCTTACAGGCTCTTGTTAGAGCATAGGGTAAGGGGGGCTTACAGAAAAAAGAAAGAAAAATGAGAACGTATACAGTTCAAATATACAAATAAATGCAACATAACAGCGACACTAATAACAGTAATAGAATAAGGAAAATACAGTCACCAAGTATATGCACATCCATACAAATGTCTATGAAATGATGCTAGATGTAGTGAGAGAGTAGTTTCTCGCGGAACGCGTTGTTGTTAGTGACTGAAACTTTCTCGTCGGGAAGATCATTCCACAGTGAGATTTCCTGTGGCAAAGCAGATAAGTTGACTAGAGTATCAAGAGTTGACTAGAGTATTAATGACCGGCTCCGCGAACACGCTTGCAACGTAAAAAATGGTCCAGATGGTTTTTTGGCACTACAGTGCAGCACGTGTGGCTGCAAACCACCTTTTCATGATACGGTAATCATAGGAAAAAAACAGAAATAAAGTGAAAAGGGAGATTATTGAAGCAGAAAGGATTAGTAGATTAGGGCTAAACTGCGTCAGCAATCCTTCTCTCGGTATTTGTGAAAAAGAATTGTCGTTTTTGAGATCATAAGTTTTTAGCGCATGGCAATAGAGGGTTTTTCATCTGTTTGTCTGTTGTTTTCGAATTTCATGAGCATATATATGTACGCTCCTCGAAATAAAATTTTGTTGGAAGTTAGCGCTTCCTTCTGTTCCTTCCCTTGTCCTATGTTTCTAAACGCGCTACGTCGATTAAACAGATAAGCTGAACGCGCGTGTTCTGCCAAAAATACGCTTAAAGCTGCGCTGATTTCGCATGCGTGCAGACATGCGATCCGGTGTGTGTAGAGGGAAAGCGCATGGATTTCTGCTATTATGTACTTGTGAAACAACACAAGGAGGGATATCTTGCGGTGGATATCTAACGGTTGTAAACCAATCTCGCGTTCAATTTGAGACACACTGCTGTGACATTGGTAGTTCTGAGTGATGAAGCGGGCTGCTCTGTTTTGAATGGCTTCGATCATCTGTATTAAGTAGTTGTTATAAGGTGACCAAACTGGTGAGGCATATTGTTGTTAGACGAGCGTGGAAATGGGCCCAAAAGGTCGATATCAACTTGATCAAATGGTAGATGAGGAGGTGGCAGCGGATGGAGAAGACCTGGAGGAGGAGTCGTAAGCCGCTTGTAGCGTTGGCATTGTTCGCAACTTCCGACATAGTGCTTGACTGGGTCCCGCATTCTGAGCCAGTAAAAGCGCTCTTGTGTCCTATTCAAATACTGATGAACCCCAGATGACCAGCTGTCGCATCGTCGTGCATGGCCTTCAGTATGTCAAATTGTAGGCTCTGTGGTACGACTAGAAGGAAGCGTGCTCCCTTTTTACCTCCTTTACGCACGTTCACCGTTAAGTTGCATCGATACTATTCTACCATTTGACATCCATGGCGACTACTGTGTCTCCAGGACACTCTGCCTAGCCGAAGAAGCCCGGCGTATTGCTCGTCTTCGCACTGTGGCTTCGCAACACCGATCAAAGACAAGCTATGACAGCCGCCATTAGTCTGTATCATACTGCAAAGGAGACTCTGTGTGGTTGGGGACGCCACAACGTAAACGGGGTAAATGCGAAAAGTTTTTACCTCAGTACAGTGGCCCATTCGTCATTGTTGATCGCCTGAGCTATTTGACATACGTGGTAGCACGGCTGACATCAGCTGGCCGTCGGTCAAACCGGACCCAGCTTGTACATGTAGCCCGCCATAAATGTTTTCACCCTCAACATTCAGAATGATTCATACTCGCCCAGCGGGCTTCGTCTGGGAGCCGGGAAATGCAACGTGTATGAGCCGAGAGAGGAGAAGAGGTGAACTGGGCAGATACCGACTCCATTACTACCGAACCATCAACTTCGCCCTGCTAATAAATCCCTCCGACTTTCACCGTAACAGTATATATATATATATATATATATATATATATATATATATATATATATATATATATATATATATATATATATATATATATATATATATATATATATATATATATATATATATATATATATATATATATATATATATATATATATATATATATATATATATATATATATATATTTATATATATATATTGTAAGATAACGTCCAGTACCCTTAAGACTCTTCTTTATTGTCTCGAATATGTGCCCCACAACCTAAACTGGAGTGGTGATGATGAGTATGTACAGATGAAAAGATGAAACGAGTAATGATGCTCACACTTATTTTCCCCGCACATTTGAGCGGCCGGCCCGGCCGAGACTTAGGCGGGAAAGGTACGGCTAACAAAGTGGTTAAGGCGTGAAACGTGAACTATCTCGGATGCACAATAACGATGGTCGGAGGAACCCTCGACGGGAGTGACAAGGTAATTGACAGGAGATGTTGGTTCACTAACAACGTAAGGTCCGAGAAGGCGTGACTGAAACTTTTTACACAGTCTGGGTGTACGAACAGGCGTCCAAAGTAGTACTTCATCTCCAGGACGCAAGGTGACGTCTCGACGAAAGCTGTCATAGCGTTGCTTGCGGTCTAGTTGACTGGCCTCCGTGTTCAGTTGAGCACGTTGCCGTGCGTCAGCGAGCCAGGAGACGAAATTTTCTGGCGTAGTCGTGGATGTTTTTGTCGTTACTCTGAAGAAAGAGGCGTCAATAGTGAATGGCGGCGCATGACCATAGACGAAGAAGAAAGGTGAATACCCGGTGGTTCGTTGAACGGCGGTGTTGTGTGCAAACGTTACGAACGGCAAGATTTTGTCCCAGTTATCGTGGTCTCCGATGTACATGGATATCATGTCGAATAGAGTTTGGTAGAATCGTTCTGTGAGGCTATTTTATTTATATATATATATATATATATATATATATATATATATATATATATATATATATATATATATATATATATATATATATATATATAGAATATGGGTTATAACACAACAGAGTGGTGTCAACAAGGATAAATGTACTTATTTTCCAACAGTTTATATTTATCCTTGAAGACAACGCTCCCGTGGTGTTACCCATATCTTCACAAAGACAAACTGACCCATTGAAATATTAAATATTACTCTCAATATATATACTCGGGACATGACGCGTCTTTGGCGAAAGTCAGCTGAGAGTCTCGATATAATTGATATCGCAATAAAACAATTTTCTCATGTTTTGTGGTTACTCAATCGACAAGTTACATTAAAATAAGGCTAATCTCACGTTTATTTCTTCTTAGATTACATGAGCTACAGGATTTATAATTTTGAGTACTATGATGAGAGGGAAAAGTGTGCAGTGATAAGCTTTATGGAAAAGTCATGTAAGTATGAATGTTTGTCTCTAGCTCTTTTAAATGCGAATGTATTTCCTAGTCGGGTCATGTCAGCATCCGGTCCGCGGTGTCCGTGTGCCAGCAGGTGATATCTCTCCGCTCTCACTTCCTCTCCCATGGGAACAGCTGTGGGCGCGCGCTTGTCCTCACCCCAACAACTGGAGCATGTTGTGCGAGAGAGTGTAGGTGCAGTTCTTCGCCGCTCCTTCTCTCGCCGTTTGCTCTCTCTCATCCCTTCGCCCCATTCGCTCGTCCGCTAGCGTCTCACTTTCGACAGTTCACTGGCTGGATGCCTCTGAAGAGCGCCCTTGAATTGTGTGCGCGACACGCCGCTGTGAAACGCCAATGGCGAGCCGAAAACGCTGGCGCCTCATTCTCCCGTCCGCTTGCTCCTCACTCTCGACCGTTCGCTGGCTGAGCGCCTCTCAAGGTGATGACAGAGGTCAATGAAAGCGAATATTTAGCGGCAATGGTACCCTCTCTCGGCGCAAGAAATTCATTCGCATTCCTTGCGATTTTCTTCTGGGAAGTGGGGGTATTTTTGCTACTGAAGAGTGCTTCTTTTACAATGCCGCGAAATTAAATGTTTGTTTCCTACATGATAAACATTTACTCAAGCAAAGAAATGACTTGATGTTTCTGCACAATGTGAATATCTAAAGTAATATTTATGATAATAATGTCATATTTACTCTATATTAAGGTCTAACAACGTTTTGAAGACTATCACTGGCATGGCACATCAGTAAACATTTGCAGAAGGTTATATCTTGAAGATTTCTGCAGAAGCTTATCTTGCTTTTGTGTTTTTTTTCAATATCTAGCTCACTGGGCCAAGCACAGGAGCACGTATTAATAATTGACGCACCAACGCATCAGCTTTGCAAAGAGTTAAATGCTAACGCTCATGAAAAGCCATCCAGCGATGCTTGTCAAAGTGTGTGGGTCTCGTATTTTAGCAGGACAAACAATCAAATGCGTGTCGAATTTATAGCAAGGTTGTGTACTTTTGCCTGTGGTAAAATTACCGAGTGCGATGAAGCACCAACGTATGCGTGCATAAATTGTCGCGGAGAAAAGGCCACTGCTCATTATTATCGTGGAGATAATCTGTGGTATAATGCCATATTGGTAGTCAGAAAATATACAGCTTGATCCATTAAATGAAATCGCTTGTCGTGACGCACGTTCCTGTATTACATGACTGAAGCGAAACTTGGCAACTATGTGGTCTCACGCGTGATTGACCCTTCACGTGTTCGGGTGTCTCGGAAGTATTTTAGCAGCCGGGCTTGTCACCAGCTCGTCTCATGTTGGCTGATCATGCTCAGAATCATGTGTTCAGTACAGGCCTAATGCAAGAATAAAAATGCTAAATTCGGGTTTATATAAAGGAATGATATGTAAATTCCTAACATTAACTGCCACATGTTTTTCTACCAAGTAAGGTCCAGGGTAAGGTAAACTGGATAGGGAGGCTTATACGATCATCACACACGCACACAAACACACCCACACCCACGCGCGTGCACACACACACCGTATATATATATATATATATATATATATATATATATATATATATATATATATATATATATATATATATATATATATATATATATATATATATATATATATATATATATATATATTACATTTTAATACCTGTGATCGGCAGTCATGGCGCTATGTTCTGGCTGCTCGTCTTCCTCATTTTGGAGCGCCACACCGGCACATGTACTCCGAAAGAACATATAAATGCTGCTAGCTCAATAACGATGTGTACGTATAACTGCGCGCCTGCACAAGTGATAACAACGTCATTGCGTTGGTAGCCTAGATCTGGTGTAAATAAACCTTGCACAGATGAGATTGCAGGCAGAGCTTCGAAAAATAGGTGTAGTCATTAGCTGAATTTTGATTAGATACATGAGTGTTAGAGATGACTTGTATTTGAATGCGTTACGTGCGCTTCTTGTTTGCCTAAATTATGCTTGTACAATTCTACCTAAATCATCTTGGACATAGCTAAGCACGAGATGAGTCTTGCGCGCGATAAGGTTACAATGTTGCCCAAACAATAACATTACGTCCGCAAGAAACGCAAACCACTCCGCTATAAACTACGCTGCACATTTTTTTTTTCAAAAAAATCTGAAATTATTTTCTTTCCTGAACACTGCGCAGCTCCAGCAGTGCTTAGCTCTTTTAAAGGACGTGCTTATATTGAAAGATATGTACTGGAAGGATTTTACAATTGCTGTGTTTTTAAACTTTCTTTCTTTAAAGGTTTCATTAAGTGCGAATTTCACATCTGGCTGACTGGTGGCTCTGGATCTTATCATAATTGCTTGCTAGAATACGAGTACTTATGCGGACATCGGAAATATTACAACCTTTATAATCCTCGTGACTGCAAATTCTAGCAAACATAGGATTGTACTATTTCAAAACAGTTTGAAAGTTCTGCCGGGATATTAAATGTTCAAACATTGTCTGGAATGCTGTCCTTTTAATGTGACGTCAAAAAAGGACAATTAATAAAGTCACATTTTTTGCGACGGAATACGCTTATTCTTTTTGGAGAACATTCAAACGTGCATAGCTGCATGCCCAAGGCTGCTTGTTTTTTTCTTATTTTTGTCCATATATATATATATATATATATATATATATATATATATATATATATATATATATATATATAAGCCACCTCACGTGGTGTACCGCCGGGATAAAAATCTGAAAGACATTCTTGTCAGAGCAAAAACAACCACCCCCAAATTTCAATCAGGGTGCCATCCCTGCGGAAAAGCTCGATGCAAGGTATGCCCACAGATGGTCACAACACGTGAATCCAAAGCGAACTTCTCGGATTTCAAAGTCTGCATAACTGATAGACTTAATTGTGACTCCAGTAACGTAATATACATGCTACATTGCAACATCTGCGGACAAGAATATATCGGCCAAACAGACACGCCATTTCGGCTGCGGTTCAATAATCATCGGTACCACGCCACTTCACTGCCGAAGCTACCTTTATCTAGACATCTGCGGCTGCCAAACCACAGTTTTGAAAATATCAGCGTAACTCTTTTGCAGTCCGGTTTCTGAAACAGACGCGAGCGCGAACAGCGTGATGCATATTTTATTTTCAAATTTCGAACATTAGTAGCCGGCATCAACGAGGACCCCGGTAAACTCAACTGCCTTCGACAAGTAAGCCAGAAGGAAATTGGTGACAAAGATTGATAGCTGGAGAGCATGCTTTTTTCTGACTGACTCGTACGTGTACACTGTCCATTCTTGTTTTCGTTTTTTTTATTCATTTTTTCTTTTCTTCTTTTTTCCACATGCACATACAAAGTGTTTTCATTCGCCTACCACTTGATGACCATTGAAGGGAAACGAACGAAGATTAAAGGTAAAAAGAGCCGACCGACCCATTAACGGGAGACCCTTCCTTTACGCACGCCGCATGCCGACCGACCCATTACGGGGAAACCCTTTCTTTACGCACGCCGTCACGGACCCTCCCGGCACCGCGGCGACAATCTTGGGTGGCCCGACACACGTCGAGAACTGAACAGCACGTGATAAGAAACGTATGTGGACGTACACGGACAGTTGGTTTCGTTCTCAGTGTTGACAGTGGTTCTTCCTCTTTTTTACTTTCTTTTTTTTTCTTTTTCTTTTTTTTCTCCCCCCCCTTTTTTTCAGTTCCCTCTCACTCTCGCGAACATGTTTCAAGGCGAGAGGGACGCGGCAGCAACGAAGTTTGGAAATTCAGGTCAGTATAACTCATCCCCTGATGAAGGGAGGGCCCCTCCCGAAACTGTTGGGGGAAATAAATATATTTATCCTTGTTGACAACGCTCCCGTTGTGCCATATTCCATATATATATATATATATATATATATATATATATATATATATATATACACGTATGCCCTGACGAAGGCCGGTCCCCGGCCGTAACGTTGGCAATAAAGCATCGTTTTTCGTTTGCTCGTTCGCTTCTTCTGGTGATATATATATATATATATATATATATATATATATATATATATATATATATATATATATATATATATATATATATATATATATATATATATATATATATATGCGTTTTCCTTAGCAAAGCCAAGGCAAGCGCTTAACTGCCATCTACCTTTATTAACAAAAAAAGTGTTTTATGCCGTGGTCCACCATGGCTTTGCTGACGTACTGCCATGACGGAAGTGGTGTTGAAAAATAAAAACTAGAGGCCAAGAATTCATCGCGCGAAATCGAACTAGGAACCCCTAGATTTACGTCCCGTGGCGCTGACCACTGCGGCACAAAGCGTGCGTTGTGTGGAGTGCTAACGGCAAGCCATCTATATACTCAATATACTGCCGGTCCTCAGAGCTTCGGAACTTTGGTGCATTTTTGTGTCCAGAGGCGAGATAGCGCGACGGGCTCGTGTTGCGCTCTCAAGGTCGTCGCCTCCACAAAGTGCCGGCTCCAGGGAGCGTTGTCTCTCCTTCTTCGGCGCTAATCAGACTCGTAATTCAGGAGGGAACGGAGGTCACTTCGCACGCTGACGCGGTCGCATTCACGAAAGGAGTGCGCTGGTTGACACACGACGGAGGAATAAGCGTAACAGTTGTTCGCGCTTGTCCTGTCTATACTTCTGTGCTCTTTTTGTGCGTCTTTCTTTGTGTTTGAACAGCGTGCTTTAAGTGCCGAGATGTGACCGTGGTTAGCCCGCACTCGTTCTGTGTATGCTGGTTTCGTGCGTGCTTTCTGCTTGAGGAGTGCGCTGCAAGTTTCGAGCTGCTTGTCGTTATGGACGTGATTTTTGCTATGTGCTGCTGTTGCGAAACACTGCGTAATAAACGCCCAACTACGCCCGTAAAGACATGTTTCACTTTCGTCTTATACCGATTCCTATGTAATGGGATCAGCCGCGTTTTTTTTTGTGGTTGCTTCAGCTATGAGAAATTCACACTTACATGGATATCTGTAAGAGTTACGAATAAAAACTGAAACACAAAAATGGCCCCGTATCTGCATGTTACACTGCAAACGTCGTCAAAAGACGATAGTCTCGCGTCTGGAGAAAGTGAACAAAACTTTTACTTGTTGTTCTGCGCAAGAAAATCAATGAATGGTATTCTGGAGGCGCTGCGTTAAAGTGCCTCGAGCGTGCGGCGGAGGTGAACGAGCGCATCAAGCCAGGTCACACGTGAGACATGAGCGCTATCTGGCAGTTAACTAAGAAAACAAAGCGCGCGGCGTGCGTGCCCATCTCGGCGGCGATAAGGTGTAGAACGGAAGACGACGGGTAGGTGGCACAACCGTGTCGGTTCAGCAAAGCGTTGGAAACAATTGTCTTTACGTGCAAGCGTTGCATTGTAAGCGCAGCGTGATAAACGCTACCGTTTGTAGAATTACGTATGTATGCCTTTTAGTAGTAGAAAGACACACATACAGAATATTGACGTCGTGTTATGGTGCCTCAGATATGCGCAATAATTTCTTTTCAACTGACAAGCGCACAAGTATGAAGGCTGAATCTTCAGCAAAATTGGTGGGCGCTGTGGATGCGGTTGGCCGCTTACGGTATTGTTTGGTGCCATTTAGGGTATCGTTTTGAATGGACAAAGTCTGACAAACTGAAAAATGTACAGATAGACTGACATACAAGCGGACAGACCAGACCTAAAGTTTTCGTTGAAGGTCCCCAAGAAAAATTATCGTGTTTAATAATATATAGGGGATAATGTCCTACAGAAAATGAAATCGTAAAGATGAGAACTGAAGACGGCAGTGGCAGTGACGAAACTGCAGCTAATGGTCTCAGAAAAATGATGAAGCTAGGCCATGGTGTAAGATACAAACACTTTAAGTGGGGACACTCGCGAGACGCGACCGACCAGATAAAGCAACAGTGATGTGCGTTCATCGGATTGCTGCCGGCAGTGTGCCTATCGGCGAGTATACGCAACTTGAAGACAGAAAGAGCTGTGCTACAACAACCGGTACTTCGCGGGAAATTTGAATTAAATGGCACAGAAGCGTTGTTCGTGCCAAAGAGTGAAAATTGATTACTGTTGTCTGCAATCATGACAGGAGCTTGAGTCACGTGGAGAGCACGATCCACACGCCTCTGTACGAAATGTATTCCGATATTTGAAGCAGTTTTTGCACGTCTCGTGAACCTAATACTGCTTGGGGAGTAACAGATACGCACTACCTGAGATGCTTTCCAAAATTTTGTATCAAGCGATTCTTGATTTAAATGCGCTAGTTTTCGTTTTCTTACTGATGGTAGATGGCGCACTCGTATCGGCAAGCTGGACCTGCAAAGCGCGCGGACGGCGGGGGGGAGGGGGGGAGGGGTATGCACATTCTTTTGATGATGAGCAAAGAAGAACGTGAATCGGACCGCGTGACGGCTCATAAAAAGAAAATCAACCACTCAAATACCTTGTTCAATTTGTTGGCGTGCATTACATAGATACCTTCCGATGTTGTGGCAAATTATATTTTCGTGGCTCTAATGATAACTATACGGCAAAACGTTCACGACCGCATGAGACAAGTTTGCGGAGGACCCTGCACCTATCTTCTCGCTCATTTTACCAACCCTTCTTACCGGGCCCGGAAAGAGGATAACAGTATTTTTTTTTCGCATTGAACAATCCGCGAACCTGTTTAGGAATGGTACTGGAAACATGCCCACAAAAACAGTGAATTCACAATGCAATACAGTAAAAAAAAAATGCTCACTACGTCTGAAACAGGAATAAACACTTTTTTGCACCTATCATTGTGTTGAATAAACATGAATCAAATGGTCGTGCAGCAAAACGTATTCACATTTACGACGAATCATCTCATTTATGTGTGTGAGAGAGAGATAAAGATGCAAGGAAAGACAGGGAGGTTAACCAGACGCACATCCGGTTCGCTACCCTGCACTGGGGAGGAAATGAAGGGGAGAAAAGAGGTTGCAGAGAGATAAGAAAAGTTGACAGAATCACGAGCACACTCGGGGAGCACGCACAATCTACAGGCGGTCGCTTAGGTTTGTTGTCTTCAAGTAATGTAGGAGTGCTTTCGTCGCTTTCTGCGCAATTAAGGCAGACACCCAAGGTCTCAGAATCTTCTGCACAGGGAATGGTATAGAGTCCAGTTGGTTCAAAACCATTCGGAGCTGGCATCGCTGCGTGTCGTAGCAAGCACAGCTGCACAGGACATGTTCGATAGTCTCTTCAGTTCCGCAGGAGTCACTTGTAGAGGTGTCTGCCATACCGATGCGAAAGGAGTACACTTTTGGGAATGCAACATTCAACAAAAGGCGGCATAGCAGTGTCGCATCGGAGCGGGAAAGTTGTGATAGTAACTGTATCTTGAGCGAAGGATGCAGTTCATATAAGTGAAACCTTGGAAAGCTGGTAGACGACCAGAACGTGCGTGTAAAATCTCGAGCCAGCAAGCAAAG